ATATAATCCAACAGTAGCAAAAATGAGCCAATTGAATCTTAAGTTATTCACTCGATTTATGTTTACAGCGGACGTCGTCGTGTGCTATAGGTTGCAATAGGTATGGTGCGCTGCGTCAATCACCAGCCAATAAATGGCGTAAGTACTCAAGGCCAACTGATGGTAAGTGGCCTTGGCCATTGCAAGTGGTCGTCGGATGAACGCAGTTCCGTAGCTGCTATACTACGAAATCGTATGAGAGGAATCCGATGCTGCAGCAGATACACGTCCTTGCCCGTCTAACATTTGATGCCTCTCGAACGCCTACCTTGACAAGTTAAAAATTTTCCGACACGAATATGAAGACTCATGACGCCTTCGGCTAGGAGGTGTCAGCTAACCTCGACCGATTGACAGGCTTCACAACGAGAGCGTCGCGAACCTGTTGCCAAAGCGGACGCACATGCAGACGTACGGAAGCTGTCGATTGTCCTGATTGGCCGAGAATCGCTGTTGGCTGGAGCTGGCAACGACTTCGGCCTGAACAGGAATCTAGCGCTGATGAAAAAACCAACATGCGTTACAGACATGGATTATGTCTCTCGTCTCTAGCATCGTTCTATTCCAGTGCTTTATGTTTTCAGTTCATTTTCAGACGAACTTGATTTACATAGGTTACATTTTTTTGGTAAATTTATGTTAATATTACGTTGATGACTAAGAGATTTCACTTTAGAACTTATTGGGTCATATACAAGGGTGCACCTTGAAGCTAATATGACTCGCAGGTGTTGAAAATACTAATGAAATAGCCCAGGTCCTAAGTATGCTCTCAGTATAGTATCTATTTTCATCTTGCTTCAGCAGTATTTTACCGCTTCATTTGACAAACGTGAATGCTAGTGGTTGGACGATCATTGAAGTTCTAGTTCGATTGTCGCAGCAACTTCCTCAAGTTAGTTTGTTATTAGTTGATCGTTTCTTCTAGCTTGAATATTTAGACTTATTGCTTCTCAATGAATAGAACGAGTTCAATGGTTCGGAAATGCTAATTTGTCGATTTCACCAGAAGCTTCCGTTTGTCCAATCACTGCAGGACCTGCTGTTTGAAGACCATTGTTTCGATGTATATTACTATAGATTTAGTTTATTATATACTATCGATATGGGATATTCTTGTGTCTGAAGCTAGAAAGTTGTGGCCAACGATTATCGTTTCCGTGCCCGTACTATGCAAATCTTTCATAGCATTCAATAGTTTCGCTATCGTTTACTATCTGAGTTTGGGATCATAGTCCTCATAATTGTCGAAAGTACAATTTTAAACTAGGTCGAAATCTGCTACAGGGTGAGCCGTCGAAACTAGTTGGCCGTGTGAAACACGTGCTTCGAACGCTGCTACACTTTCACATGAACATAAGCACCGTTAGTTACACCGAACGGCTTATGGACCTCTCAACTGCTTAAACATTGAGTCTGCTGCCTCCTGACATCTAGCCTATGCACACTTGTTTGTCGAGTTCTCTCCGTTACCTTTACATTATCCGTTACGCTACCGAAGATCTTCCTCTTATAACAACACCGGTACCATCGTACAGCATCTGGTATCTATATATATATATAGTTTCTTTAAATTGTTGCTATTAAACAACAATAAAAATGTACATGTATACTTATTCATGTTAGCAACAATGGAGCCGTCGTATGTGGTGATTAACGGCGATATCGGACGTAGAACTCGAAACAACGAGAGGCTGCTTGGTGTACAACAGATTAGATCCGTTAATATTTCGACAGTCTGATAATTAGAAATGCAACGGATTGCTGAAACATTTCAAGGAGGAAACTGGCTCGGGATGACTCCCGACGTATATTAATGTTCGTTAGGCTAAGTACGGCATTATTATTGAATCAAATTAATAGGTCTGCTACTATTATATTACCGCATGGAATAAATGACAAGAGGTGCTAGACTTGAAAAACATCTCCGTGAGAAGCCGAGAATAACCGTGTAAAGGTAGGAAGTATCGCTTGCTCGACTATGGTACCATTCTATAATTCTAACAAAGTAACGACGTTAATGACAAATTCTAACGAGAGGACTAGATCATTTTTGCAGGGTAATAGAAACACTGTCTCAATGGGTTAACGGAACTACTCGAGTTCAGCAAAGCCTCAGAAGAACTGAAACTCGATAATTATGTTGGTCTGCAATCGAGCAGTGATGGCAGTTGGTCGGAATGTAACATAAATCGAATCTGTGAACGGGACATCATGTTTCTGAACGATAACGGGATGGGCGGAGGAAGCTTACGTTAGGCTGAATCTAACGTCAACTAACCTCAGATGAATGAAAGCAACGGCAAAGAACAAGAGTAACCGTTAGCCAGTCGAAGAAATCGACATGAACTGACTGATTATAACGAAACAAATACGTTCTGCGGGATTAATGCAGCAACGTAATCAGGTACCGGAACGACATAGTTGACGTAATAAGGTGATACCTGACGGGGCCTTTAAAACAAGCAAATTAATTAAGGAAATAAACGAATATGTACAAAGAGATAAGACAATGACTGGATTAACAATAGAGGTATAGATCGGCAGTCTATCTAAAATGTATATATATAGATATACATATATATGTAGTGTGAAGCAAAAGTTTCTTGACGATATAAACAAATCGATCGCCTGTGTCGATCCGGACTTCTTCCAGCGGATCACTAGAAGTAAAGTCGTTAGAATGATCGACTTTCATCGATGGCATAAGAAATTCATAGAATATTATTATTATTATATTGGATTGTTACAAACACCGCTCTTTAGGGGTTCATGAAAGAATCCGTTTGTATATTACGTTTCTCGTTTCGTTCCTAAGTCAAAGCAGATGTTTGTCTTTCGGAAGAGCCGAGAAACGCTGCTACAGGAATCCAACAAGGATCATTATTTCTGACCACGGAAGCCTCCAGTTCCCCTTCATGCAGCGTAGTCAATGCTGCCCGCGCTATCTCTGCGCCAAAGCTCAACCCATCTACGTATAGATACGCGTAAACTGTAATGTGGCGAGCAAGAAATGCATTAGAGTGATAATATTGTTTTGATATCGGCTAGGTGGAACGTACATGTTTTGGTTAAGGAAGGCTAAACACTGGCTTTGTCCAGACAAGTCCTGCAATCCGCTCCTGACACATAGCCCTTTTGCATGCTCTACCACAAAAGAATTGATCACAATTGTTACCCAGTGTGTATCGAATAAGTTCGATTACTTTATACAACGCTTATATACGGATAAGCGGCCTTACGATTAACGAGTGCTCGATATTATGAATTATCATAGGCGCCTACCAGTGCAAGAACGCTTACAATGCAAAGAGGCATCATCCTAGAACAGGAACTATATGAATTCGTGCTTATTATGTCTTGTCAAAAGTTTGCTGCTTTCCCCTCCGATCAACTAACTTATGAACTCAATGTATGTTAGCTTTATAGGTAGTTAGGTATCCTGCTTAGTAAAGTAACCTGCTTGGTTTAGGCTAGTTCCAAATAAATGCACAAAAAAGGACTTCCAGACATTTGACTAAACAGATAGGCTGATGGCGAGGAAATTTGTTTTTTACGAGCGTATGCACCGAGGCATACCCTGAACTGAATCCGCAGCCTGATTTCTGTAAGATTAACATTTCACCTTTATGTCATCGCAAGAACGCAGGCAAACAGCAATCGAGATACAGCTTTGCAGGAATCGACTATCCTTTGACCAAAGACACAACTAAGCAGTTAGAGGCCATAACTAAATTTTATATATAATGGGGTTGAAGCCTGTATGAAGCTTTATAATTAATGATGACAATATTATTACCAGACGAGATAATAAACGCTTGGAGACAACTGAACAAGTTAGGTGAAGCAGTTTTAATTTGCTAAGAATGGGTTTGCACTATAGTCACCTTCTTGCTTATAGTCAGAGTAATAGTTTGTCTAGTTAATATGTGGGGCGAGCATTATGTATGCAGAACTACTAATTAGAGTAAAATATTATTTATGTAGCTGTTTACCGTTAGCGCTGCTTAATGCTGGATCCCATCATTTAATCCGCTTCCAGGACAAAAAAAATGAAGCAAGGTTTTTTCAATGTGCTTTTAAATGAGGCATTACCTTACAACATTTCGAACTATGTAGTAACTTTCTTTATTGTTCTGACCCGTAGGCCATATCTAAATATTTAGAACATATCTAAATATATAGAACTTAGAGTCTATGCGTCCTTAACTTGAACACGGCGCCATATTTGGTGTTTACAGGAAAAACTGTCATTTCTTTAAGTACTGTTTTAGTGGGAAAATCGGTAAGGGCCTATGGAAGTTAGCCCAGTTCGTTGAATAAGCGATCGGTCAACAAACGAGCCTAGTATAATTGAGATTGCCGTCAGAATGCATGGGCCCTCCCTTACTATCTCTAACGATATGTAAAAATCGTGTAACAATGAAAGTAATCGTAAAAAAAACGTATCCTAAAGGTTTTGTAAACGAATCTAGCCCGGTCTTATTAGTAGACAACAAGAGTCTCATTGAGTTATTTTGAATCAACACAACAAAGCGAGCTGAAACAAATCCGAGTCAAACTTAACCTAAATCAGGCACCTTCTTAGTTCTTACTGATCGCTAGTCTTAAAGGTACTATCACATCTTTTGTGATAGCACCTTTAAGACTAGCGGTCAGTAAGTAAGTAATCCCTAAGACAAAGGCGACATCTTTGTCATAACTTATCTTTGTCGAAATGGAACAAAAACAAAAAAATATTCTGAAACATTCAGACGTTTAGTGCTTTTTGGGATTCAAGACACCAAAAGCAAATTAGAGTATATGTTCCATTTTATTACACTTTAATTATTTGCTCATCTGTTGTTTGTTTATCACAAAATATACTAATTTTAATATTGATTGATTTTGTATTTATTATATTATTATTAGAGAATAATTATAGTAATGATACAGTGTAATGTAACTAGTTTTATTCGCAGTATTTGTTGCTTGAAAAACCTTGCCTTATCTATTTCATTATGGTCGGCATCTCTTCATGTTGTTTGTCTTCCGTATAAAGTATTCACGTTCAAATTGGTTCAGCCTGTTTTACTTGTGCTACAATTCTTTCCCGCTGTACGATATTCTCTCTTTTTTTTTTTTCTCTTTCTCTCTATCTATCTCTTTCTTTTTCTTTCTCTCTCACCGACTGACTTTCTCGCTTTTTTTGTCTATACCACTTGTAATGATTGCATTGTTCATTTTACAAGAACGCCCTGCTCTACACAGTCCAGGTTTGCTCACTAACATACAATTATGTGATGATGAAACTCACAAAATGTAGATGTGACAGCTCGTGTTATTATTTATAGGGAACCTTGCTACAATCTGCTTAGTGTTTACTTAATTATAATGAAACCAATCTAGCTAGGCTCCTGAAAGACAGGCAGTGCTCGTTAGATCTCTTTTGCTTGCGTGTATGGATTTCGTAGTTACAGCATTGCTATCGATCAAGGCCGAGTGCCCTGAGGAGACAACTTCACTGCACAAAATTTGCTATGCGCCTGTTGCAATCCTATCGCATTTTGGAATGATGTCCTTTGGAAGACTTGAGTGATTTTGTCTGTGTGCCTTCTCCCGAAAGACATCGGTGCTTTCGATGGCGCCGTCGATTATCGCAGAACAATCTGCGAACAACTATGTTAACTAAACAATACACAATATATTAATCAGTGGTGCGCGATGTTATTCCGCATTCGTTCGATCTTGGTTTTCAGTCATTTCGGATCTAACAGCTTTCAGTTAATAATGTACATGTATCTAAACGTATTGCTTAGGCTCCTTGGAGTTCAAATAATAATAATAATAATTGTAAAACAAACGATAATAGTGTAAATGGGATTCGTTTTCTTCCTTTATGTTTATGCGCATTTGTATGTATGTGGCGCTTGCGTACGTTCACTTCCGTCTGTATCGCTCGCACCTCTACCTAAGTTTTCAAATAACAGCTTCGAGATTCGTATATAACGGCGACAAAAATTCGCTCGACAAACTCCTTCGTCGCCACGCTGTCTTCCACAGATTCATTGATGGACCTTGAGATTCGAAGTCACCCTGCCGCCTCAACCTGAGAGCAGTCCACACCTGTGGTTCCAATACCTTGAGCACTAAGCTCGGCAGCGTTGGCCGAGGACTTAGGCGTACGCCCTACTTGCACGCGCTTTCATACACACACGCAGGACACCTATCTACCCCAGTTGTGTTTGAGGATTTCTCGCACCACTATCTGTAATAGTTATATGATTGTCGATATCGTAGCGATAATAATTCGAAGATGAATTTTCTAAAGTTGAACGTAAAGCATTACGGCTCGCTCTTAGTCTCGTAAAGGCTTTCATAGTAGTCGTTGATGAGGTCACGGAAATTGAGGGCATCGATATTCTTGCAAACCATGTGAAGGATGAGCCAATCGCCAACCTTCGAGTGCTCAATGATGCGTTTGAGGCGATCCTGATTGGCAAGACGGCCTTTCGACTTCGTAACACGTGTGCGAATCGGCGGAAGGAAAAGGGTAGCGGCACGGTACACCAGGACGGCTCCTGAGATGATCGCCATGAAAATGAACCAGAACCAAAGGAAAACGTAAATCTTTTCGTTGATAATGTTGATAGGCAGAATGCACATTGCGTCGTGCCTTTGAACATCGCCAGATGATCCGTACATGTGGAAGATACATTTGGTCAGTCGAGGGAACACGCGAATCATTGGGTCGTAACGAACCTCCTGTGACCACTGGGTAAAGTTGAGCACTTCGGCACCATACTTCGAAAATTCGCCTCCAAGAAAGTGGTCCATAAGGAACATTTGGCCAACGACATTGACGAAGTTGAGTACCTCAGCGGCGGAGTATGCCCAGAAATATATATTGTGGTTGTTACGATTTACCATAAGGTACTCGACAAGTAAACGTCGACTTATGGACTTCTCTTTGTCGTCCATGATGGGGTTGTCCAAGCCAAGTATGAGATTCTTGATACGCCCTCCTTCAACCATTTTCCACAGATAGCGTGGCACGTAGAACAGGGCCGCTTGTAAAAACAACACAAAACACACCCATTGGTAGTAAGCGTGATACACACGCTTTCCGGAACCATTTGACGACTTGTCGATACCTGGATAAGGCACCTCTGAGCCGACATTTTTGTGCCACGCATCCGGCATGGAAAACGTCGTGTGTATCCAACAGAATGTATCAAGTATATCCGTTGGCACGGAATCTTTCGTGATGCAATCAATAGGATCGCCAATATACTGCCTGCCCGTTACAAGAATACTGAACGCGATCAGAATTGCGACCGTTGCTTTGTAATGCAACCGAAATACGGAGTTATCCGTGTAGGTGAAATCTGTCTTGAAGAATCCCTTAAGATTTCCAAATAGCTGATCCATGGCGGCAGTGGGGTCGTGTGGTGTAAAGGGCCGAACACTACTTTTTTTAAATTAGATAAGACACAAGACACACAGTCTCTGATGGAATCGTAGTTACACTCGCTTGTAGATACTCACACACACGAGTCATCAGTGGCACAAGTTACGCAATTTTTGTTTATTGTTAATCATTGGCGATAGGGATAACGTAGCGAACACAGCGAACAGATCAGTCGCACCCCACTTACACGCACTCGGAGCTATACAAGGAAACGATTCAGACACGGACAGAATGCTGATCTTGTTTAAGCAACTTCTGTTAGGTGCCTGGCAATCAAATCTAGCAGCACTTCCCTCGGCTACTCGCTCGCTCTTTCTTTCACTTGGCTTGCTGCTGGCCGACTCGACGCCACAAGCAGCACGCAGCGCCACGTAAATTTAGGCAGACAAACTGCTGACTGCTTTGCTAAATGCTTCACAGGCTAACAGAGGGCGCCACTCTCTTTCGCGATGACCAAAATCGCTGTGGCTACCAACTAAAAGTCTTCGTGCCTGCTACGGTAACAACTTTTCTATAGACGACCAAATGGTAGTTGGTTTGCTTACTTGAAGATTTCAACGAACGATACGCCGCGAAGCTTCTTGACTAGCGGTCTGTGAGCAAGTGGCGTGCTGCCCGTAGCTGGAGCTGCCGCCGCAGGTGAGGGAAAACCCCGACCACCAGGGGACGCCAGGCACCAGCAGTAGCAGCAGAAGGGCTGAGAGGGCGCTGGAGTCGTGTCAGATCTACTGCCACCGCCACTGGACAACCACAGCTGTTATTGCTCCTACCAGCACATTCTGCTGGTGCGAGAATAAATGGCAGTGGCGGCAGCAGACAACGAACGAATGAACGAAATGCCAACCAGCACAAATGAAGCAATACTACGGCAACGGCTACTGCCGCCGCTGCTGCCGCCCCGACTCGGTGATGATCGGTAGTAGTAAAACCACAAGCTATGCTAGCAGAAGCAGTATTATAATGAGAACGACGGCCACTGGCTGGTCCTGCAGGTCCAATCAGTCGGCCAATCACTCAGAACAATCGGAGGTGATGTCCGCACGTCCGACGTGAGGGCGCACGTTTTTCGATACAGTTTGCTACGGAGCAAGCCCTGTTACCGGGAAAGAAAACTAGTGCCCGTAGCAGACTAACGGGAATGCGATACTTTAGTAACGCCAAGGAAGCACAGGTGTAATATTTAGCCTAGTGGAAAAAGAGGCTGTAGATTATGTTAGCTGCCGGTGACCCCAGCAGGTTCAAGCTACTGCTGGTCATCTAGTTATTGCTGTTCTTCCAAAATATTGGCAGGTGGCGCTGACAATAGCATTTTAACCGGAATCCTTGCAGTAGACATCCATCCTCCGCCAGGTCGAACCGCGTGGCTTGGCGGGTTCTTCGTTGACAGGGACCAAGGAGTTGGACAGAACGAAATGGTCAGGCTTGAATGATTTTTGTTTCATATTTATTATCGTTATCTCTTTCTTTTCATAATACAGAACAATGGCTGCTACCAAAAACGCCAAAGAGCTCCCCTGAGCCGAATCCGGCGCGCTTGTGCAGACTATTCTGATGATTTGTAAGCCAGAACAATTTAGTGGTGGTAATTATGAGTTCAATGAACATTTATTGTTGGAAAGTTTAAGAGGGTCGTATCTATTTAGATATCTGTTGAAAGTTGGGAAATTTCATTCTTAGTTTTTCGGCAAAATTAAGTTAACTGTCGAGCAGTAGGAGAGGGATCGATTGAAACCCAAAACAATGCGTTCGAGCGATAATTTCAAGCAAATCAATGAAAGGCATTAGTTCGGAAGTTCGCGCGCAATATCGTAATACCAAACACAAAGTCGACACTGATCAACGTGCAAAGACGTGTACTCGTCATGAATACGAGAAACCTGTAACAATGTTACATATAATCAGGAGATGTGTACATCGGACAACTTTCGCCTGCTGCATTCAAAAACCATGTCAACGTCATCACGTTACGTGCTTAACGTAACGTAACATACGTGCTTGAAACAGGTTAGAACACCAGATGTCTCAAGCGCTAATTTAAACATGACTGGGTAGCATAGCGAATAACGGTTAGTAAATTCACAGGCAAAAAGTTTCACTTAAAGCCAAACAGCTATACTTGAGCGCATTGCTATCTGCAGTGTGTACGCTGGCCGACTTATAGTACTTTTGTTGGCTATCGGAGATTGATTAGAGGTCGAAAGGTTCCACCTTCCAGTCCGTAGAAAATCTGTTATGTATCATTGCTTACAATGATCCACGATGTGAGCACGGCACGACTAAAAAATAAAGCTACACGTTCTTTAGGTATGATTTCATCTATGGTATAGAATTATTACCCGGTTGAACCATTTCGCCGGCCGCATATAAACGGCTGCCTGCATTTCTAATGAGTTTATCTCTGCTAGTATACAAATGCTATTATAATCGTACATATCTCTGTAGAATGGCGTCAAGCATTTCGGATTCCTAAGTTTGTTCTGCTTCATCTCGTATCGGGTCGTCGTAATCTTACTTATTTAGTAATTGTAACATATAGATATGTTACAATTACTAAGTAACAAGTGGTTTCCTGGCAATGTTTGACAGCAATGGAGCGTATAAAATTTCCTAACTAACGAGTGAATATCTCGACGGCTTACACAATGAGCTGATCTGATAGAGTTGGCGCGCAAAAATCCGGAGTGATTTGACGTGGAATGCTGTTAGGGGAATTACAGCGGATGCCCCATCGAGGACGTTTGCGACCGGACCGCCGACTGTCTGATCACTCTGTCACGAGCATTAGGTGTATCTGCTTCCTGCTGGTGAGCCTTCCGGTAGTAGGTCGTTTGTCGATACTCTAAAATACTTATAATAAACCGCTTTATAGAACAGGTGCAAAATTAAGCGGAACTTTCCCATAGGGAATGAAACACCGTTTATTAGTCTCTGACGAATTCAAGTCCGTGTGTTCATCATGAAAGCCACAATTAGTAATGGTTCCTTAGCAATGCCTTTGACTTGTTCTATCTGCTATCCAAAACATAACTGAGTCATTATGTTTGCTATACATCATAGGTTATCATAGGTTGACTCACATCCATTTGTTAAATCCGTCTCCTTAAGGCTTGAGAAAAGGAAGTCCTACGCGACAGGATGTGCGCACTGCACTACGTGTTCGAATGAAGTACTAAGATTCGAAGGGTAGATACTCATCTATGTAATCAACCTACGACTAGAATGGTCAAGAAGACCCCAGTAGAAAATCTCATTAATTGAATCCTTAAATTCCGCAACGGAAACCCGTAAAATGACTGTAATGAAATCTTTGCGCTCAGAGATACAACAGGTAGTTGTGTTCGCACAGGTTAGGTAGAGTAAAGAACGTTTCATGCACGTTATCTGTGCACGCCACATTCTGTCTCATTATATGCATTTTCGGTTGATTCGTTAAACGATTTTCTTTACATTACAGGATGTATAAAAGCAAAAACCAGAAAAAATGCGTTCGTACATTATATTTCGAATACACACTACACCTTTGTAAATACTCGTACACTCTGCCGCCTTAGTCAAATCAATTTCAGAGAGAGAGAGAGAGAGAGAGAGAGAGAGAGAGAGAGAGAGAGAGAGAGAGAAAAGAGACACAATGGTGTAACTAAATAATAAGCAAAGTATATTTACGAGTAAGTGTGTATTTATTATTTATCCATAAGCATTTCGAATCTGGAAAAAAAAATCATAAATTTAACCAATAAGGAGGAAGATAGCAAAAGGTATTTGTAAAATAAGTATGTTTTCAAACCACTGTAAGCGTTCTGCTACGTACAACCTCATGCGTCGTGGTTTAAAGCGCCGCATACTAAAAGAGGCGTACTGCCTGTCTTGTAGACCTTCATGTCTTCGGGACTCAGCAGTTAGCCGAAATAGGGCTGGAACAGGTATGTTACCAGGAGCTTGCCGGGTACACAGATCTTTCTCTGAGCTGCATTACGCTGAGCTGAGTTTTGCCGTCTTCGTGCATTATTTTTAACGAGTAGCGGTAGTGATGGACAATTGTTGCCGGACAACCAGTCTCCGTAGGCCTTCATGTAGATTTGTCCGTAGGGTTGCGTTTCGAAGCGCACGCGCGTTCGTGGAGAAGTCCTCTGGCCTCAGGTATGTTTCGCCATGCAGAGAAGAAAGAGTCTATACACAATTGTCACTTTCATTAATGAAAAAACGGCGCGCCAATTATAAACTCAGACAATGATGTAATATTGTTCAGTGGTATTAGAGTTTTTCGTTCTGAAAGCCATTGACGTCCCTGTCAAAGATGTCAGGGCAGCTACAGAAGACCCTCATCGGGTTTAGACTTTAGAGTTCTATTAAGTTCAGATTTAACATAGCGCAACCAAAGATTTAGGAGCAAGCGCGGTCACTTGTGTTTAAAATGAAAAAATCGCTGATTTTACAAGACGTGAATGCACGTGCATACTTCTAACAGCGCAAAGCCCAAACCAGTTGCCCCTGAATATATTTGTAATAATATAGAACTGGAATCAGCGATTCTTGCCTGGTAGGCGTTAATGCTCATAACGTCTCATAAGGGTAATACATCTCATATAAAAAATCTCAGAAAAAAACCTTTGAACCGTTGAAGCTGTGAAATTAAACTTACCTTACTTGCCAGAGCATATACGGCGTCCAGATAAGTGAAATCTTTTGTACACAGTGAAAAGAGTAAGTTAAATATGAACATCACGTAGTTTTCGGTGCTTCTACGGTTGTTTTGCGGCAAATCAAAAGCTTGTTGCTTTATAATATAGAATTTTTTAAACTATGCCACCGAGTTTATAACAACTGCGACTCAACCCTACCCAGGGTTATGCTCCGCTGATATGATGTTCTTTGAAGGTTAAATATTTAGACGCATCTAGTCAGATTCTATATTCCGATTCGCTCTTTATGCTCCTATAAAGCAGGACTTTACGCTTGCCAACATCAGCAATGGGCCGCGTGTGGTATACACGCGGTCCGTGAGTTTGGCTGCTTTTTTACCGTTAAATTATTTCTATGGCTTTTGTTTCTAAGTCGTGGCTACGCACAGTGCCTAAGCCTCAATTAGGGCTACCTTTAGTTTCACGTGATTATCGTGCACCGCCGCCACAGAGTAAAGACAGCCCTGTTCTGCACGGTGCCTGGTCTGAAGGGTTTAGGTTTGCCCCCAAGTAAAGTTCTCTAATGTACTTCGACGACGATAGATAATATTTTAACATGAATTATAGAAAATATTCTGTGCACACACCTTTCCTTTCCGAGAGAATGGTCTAGGGCTAGTGATGAAGAACTGGAGTCGGGCTTTGTCTGGTTAAATGCCAAACACATATACGGATTTAATTATAGATTCCCTAATAAAGTTAACTAGCTTTTACTTTGAGATTGTTCTGTAGTTAATAGAATATTCATCAATGATACAGTTAGCTAATTAATAAGGGTATGTAAGGTTATGGCATAGATTTCTTTCAGCCAGCAAGAGAAGCAGCTTTATTGTAGCAGAAGAAGTTGTGTGCCAATTGTTTCAATGGCCTGTGATCGTTGCCAGCTAAAGCACTTTGAAACTGAATGAGGTAGGTATCAAAAGGGTTTTCACCATAGAAGCCTCTTTTTGAAAAACAAGCCCTATAACAATTCTTGGTTCGGTTCACATCTTACAAATTTCGAAAGTAACAGGTTTGACACTTGAAACGCTTTATTTTGCTTTTTAGTGAAACCGTCTGCTCCGCTTTTTCTAAACATATAACATTTTTTTATTATTGATACGCTTACAATAAAATTTAATCGCATAGGTCGCCGTTATCGTTTTTTCGGTATTTTGAATATCGTTTTGCTTTCGTTCATTGTTTTATAGCTATCCGACCTTGGCATATGGCGTCATGTTAAACATATGTTTGTCCTATAACTGATCACGAGGTTCCATGTTGACTCCGGCTTACAATCAACAACAGCAATAAACGAAGTTTGAAAAATAAAGAGCAAATCAGCTACGGTAAATCGACATGAAGTTTTGACCTTAAGAGCTCTCATTCTGTCAACTTGCTTATATGGCTTAGTTGTTTAAGCCTAGATTACGACAGATAGTTTTCTTACATACTAGATAATTTGTATCTCGTTTATGGTGTCAGTGCTCAGAATCTGGCTACTACATAATCCGATAGTCTGTAGTTTTCTTCTGTGCAATCATATAACTCGGTTCGAATTGTTCAGATATTAAGGTTCGCCTAGTGTCAAACCCTATCGACTATTATCTATGTTGCTTTCAGTGATAACAATAGGTAAACTGTTTATCTACCATTCGACCTCGTAAAAGCCAGCTCTAACGCCTATAAAAGCTTATTATGCCGAAACTACGCCCCTGGCTCCTATCGTGCAATATTTTATTTACTGTACTGTTATATATAAACCGTCAAATTTCGCAGTAGACGCCTAGCTATGATTGTGTGTATTCTAAGTGATGGAATGATTTCATTTATCTATTCTGTGATACACGATGATACATGTGGGTGCCACAGAATTACGTGGCCTAGTAAATATACGTTGATATAATACGGAATTTCTTCTTAACAGCAATTATCGGAGTCGATAGAATAGAGTCCATCTGGGTGTATGACTTTCGTGCGACGGTACGTACTGCGTTTCAGCATCAAATAGAACTGAGCCTTTGCAGTGTACATATAAATAATTATTTTGCATTTATTATAATCCAATGATGCCTTATTATAATCGTTGCAACTCACGTACGGTATTAAGCGTTCATATGTAATACAAGTAACAGTGCACGTCATGTTAGCGAAATTAATGCACGCACATACACATACACACACACACACACACACACACGCACACCCAAACAGACATAATCAATCGTCGGCACGTTTTCAAAGCTGCTTTCGTTGTTATTATGGTTGTATCTGGCTAACATTAACTACTTATCAGACATCTCCGGCTTGGAGTACTTTGTGGATGTTGGCGGAATCCTCTTCCTTTTGATCATGTTCCGTCTCTTCAACCGCGTTCAACAGTTGTTCTCTTCGTTGGATCGGCTCTTCCAGTTGTCGTCGTTCGTTGCATTCTGGTTTGGGCAGCATCGGCCTTTACGTGGCAGTGCGTTTGAGACAGACGTGATTATTATTTTCGACATTTTTTCTTATTTTCGCACGTTTTTGCATGAAAATTCATCGGGCCCGGTTTGTTCTTTGTGTAGTGCACACAGGTTAGTGATTAAAATGAACCTCTTGCAGCTTTACTTCCTTACATGAGTTGCATATGAGCTTCTTCTCCTCAACAACGGCATCGTCGTCGGGATCGTGTTGCTCACGAAGTCTTAATTCGTATTTTTTGAGAAATGCCTCCATGTGCAATGGGTCAATGTTCTGTCCTATTAGGTACATGATAAACCAGTCCCCAATGTCAGTTTCACGCAGAATGTAACGTACAGTTTCATCGCAGTGATGATCTTTGCAGACGCTATTCAGCAGGAGCGACTCACGCAGCTGGGGTAGGAGAATTGTTGCGGCGCGGTGCACTAACCAGAGCGCGGTTATAATCGTTAATCCAACAAACCAGAACCACAAAAATACGTAGATCTTCTCATTGAGGATATTGATGGGCAACACGCACATAGCATCCAGCTTTTGAATATCGCCCGATGTACCGTACATTCGGAACGTGCATTTAGCCATACGTGGGAACACCTTAACCATTGGGTCATAACGTGCCTCCCAATGCCACTCGGTAAATGTGGCCGTTTTCCAGCCGTAGCTGGAGAATTCGCCTCCCAGGAATCGGTCCATCAAGTAGATCTGAAGGGTGATATTAACGAAATTCAACACTTCGATACCAACCAATGAACTAAAATAAACCAAATGTGTCTTGTTTTGATTGGCTTCCATATAATCGACAAGGAGCTTGAGTTGATTCTTTCGTTTTTCGTCTTGATCGAGTAGGGGTTTGTTTAGATCAGCCGTCAAGTACCTCACGCGACTTCCTTCGGCTAACTTCCACAGAAAACGAGGCAGATAGAACGCGCCCGCTTGAAGGAACAAAACAAAACATACCCACTGGTAGTAGCCATGGTAGACGAGCTTGTCGCCTGCTTTGTGAGGTGCCACTCCGGGATATGCGACCTCGTTGCCGAGTTCGCCCTTGAAGGCTTTTTCGACACTAAACGTTTTGTGAATCCAGCAGTAGGTGTCGAGCATTGCCGTGTCAATCGAGTCCTTCGGCACAACGCAATCGATTGGGTCGCCAAAGTACTGTTTGGCTGTTACGAGGGCACTGAAGGCCAATAGAATGGCCATTGTGGCCTTGTAATGTAATCGACACACATTATTGTCAATTGTCACGTACTCGGTCTTGAAGAACGACTTCAGCGATAGCAGAAGTTCCGACATAGTTGCGACTGTAACAGCGTGGGTTACGCAATCCAAATTAGTGGCTGGTCAGCTACCCTCCGACGAATCAACTGCTCGAGCCCGACGCAGGTCGTTAGTCAAGATACTGTGCTACTATACGCAGCGGGAGTACACGTTATGGCGTTTCGTTGAAGCGCCGTTGCGTCGGCGTCTCGTGCGTTTGCTGGGAACGCACTCAAATGGGAGACCAAAGTAGAAGATTAGATGGAGCAGGGGAGGGATCGAGCAACTTAAGAGGCCGCTGAATAGCATTATGCTGGTCGTCGGCGCTTGTTGCCCACACCAGGACACAAGGTCCAACCGTCCCAAGCCAACACAACGTTGTCACAGGATGTCTATCTCTAGGGAAACCTGGTCAAAGTAAGGCTAGAGTAAGCAAGCAGTCATCTAGCTTGGATTTGCTTGCAACCTTTCCCACCTTGGTAGCTTGCTAACACTATTTCGAAATGGGCAGGACCCTTTCGGCAGCTAACGACTAAAAAGAGCAGTAGATCATGAACGGAACGCGTGTAGGTCGAGCTGCTGCCGCCAGGCAGGCGTTTATGGTCCAAGCTATGTCGAAAGCCGAGGAGTGGCGAACAAAGGCTGCTTGATCGAACCATCTTTGAGGCAGTAATTTCTCTTTATATTACACTATTTGAGAGCAATATATGAAATATGTAGAGCAAATATCTAATCCGTATTAAATCTTTATGATAAAAGAAGTTCTCCACCTAGTCTAGTTGACTTCCAGAAGATGAGGTAACATTTACGTATACTTTTGAATTAGACTTGTAACTGGGCATAATATCCAAGGTAGTTGAGCGCGGATACGAAAGAAGTTGTTCTTTTGTTTAGCATTAGAGTGCATAGGCGACTCCGTTAAATTTAATTCCGATAGAACGTTTTCCTTTTTCTGCAAAGTAGAGTAAACGAATAATCTGCAACATAGTTATTCAGTTCTGACGTTTCGTTACGTAACAATTAAGTTAATGTTATTATTATTGAGTATTATTGAAAATCTTTCTTAGTAGGCTCCAATTGACGAAAGGTCTTCACTGTTTAACTTTTCACTCCTTTGTATTGAAGCAATTCCAGTCGAGGTTCCACTGAGTATTCCAGACAGCCGCCAGATGTCTCGGACGGAAATGTTTCACACCTAATGAAATGTCCTGTCTGGTCAACCAAGAAACCAATCCAGGACGTCCTTTGTGTTACCGGTTTTACGTTCGGTAACGCCGTTAGGCATTCCATCAGACGGTTAGATCCCAGCCAGAAACGAAGGACGTCTTATCGGCGTTGAAGTATCTGTCCATTGACTTCGGTAGTTCCATTGTATAGTGATGCGATAGGATTAGATAACTGATAGACCTGTTGCCATATATGCGCGAGTGAGGTGCTGACTGTACACTACGCGACTCAACCTTCTATAGGCGTAGCTATTATATCGATATAAACATACGATAATTTCTAAAAAAACAATTCATGTTTAGTCGGCTGTCGCTATTTGTAATTGTTTTTGGCGAAAGCATGTTTTTCTTCTATTGGTCCCTACCGTAGCTGTCATTATTCAGTGATGATTCATCAGCGTCATTTAGTCATGGCGTACATTTATGGATGCGTTGTGATCTTTTATCCTACCGATCAAGACGAACGAACAAAAAAATTCGCCATAGAAACTTAATTGCGTACGTGTCACAAGATTAAGTTATCCACCTTTTTTTAAATATTCCCACATAATCGAACAGTGGTCCTTTATATCTCAGCGAATCTTTCGCTAAGCGCAACGCGTTTGGATGACTCTATCTTGAAATGCAATATTCTGGTTATGATCAAAATTGGACTAACTATACTCCGTCGCCAGGGGTTGCCGCGAAGAAGAGCACAACGGCGATGAGGATGATAAATTTCCACCGTATTCTGTTATTTATGTTTCGTTTGCACCAGGGGCGTCAAACGCACGATGGCGCTGTCGCTATACTGGCTGTGGATCTTTCGCTTACGCAAGTAGAGTGTGACACGTTTATACGGTACTAATACTCATATGTACGTATATATATATATATTGAGTAGGAAAGGAGACAACACATGTGCTCAAGATCAACTTTGAACTGCACCTTAATCTAGGCCTGAAGTATAGAGGATTACAGTTGGGCAGCAGTTGAGTGGAGGACTCATGACTGAGTTCGTCTTTGCATCAATGCTTATGGCAGACGTAGGAGTTGTCCTGACGTAAGATGCGTGCTGAAAAGAGGATAGGTAAAACCTTCAAGGGACAAGTGAGCAAGGCTCAAAAAAATTTAGTCGCACTCGTTGGAAACCAACCAGCTCAACAATCCATTCACGCAAAGACAATGAGCGGGATATTTCGAAAATATCTAGACTCCATACTTGAAGAGTACATAGAGATAAGGTCTATAAGAGTCATATAGACATCGGATCGGTACTAATAGTTAATGCACAGAGACAGATAGCAGAAACAGACCATGAACTGAAAGAACAAATGCCAGAATTACCCGTACTAGCTTTTCATTAGCTTCCTCAAGCCTAGCTAAAAGCAGACATTATGAATATTTTTTTTTATTGGTATTTCTCTACGATGAGTTTTATAAACACTTAAATGAAATCTTTAACAGCGATGCATGAAGTGCGATCAGATACGACCAGGGATTAGCTGTAATGGATAAACGGCATATGGTACGACTGCGTATCAACAGAACCAGCATTGCGTTATAGAAAGTGGAGCTGATATTTTCCTGGCGACTGTGTGTACAGCTTTTGCTCACATGGTTCTTACGTGAGTCATCATGAGAGTTTTTGCTATGTAACAGTGTGTAGCACCTTCAACAGAGCATCCTGTGGAGCGAAGAGCGGTTCCGATGCCGACGACGATGCGTCTTTTCACAAGGTAGGACCTTTTTCAGTTCATCTTTCGCCTAAATCTTCGAAGGAAGACAGGTCCGTTTGACCAATGGTGTGTGGTTCATCGCAGGAAGCGCCTGCTGACGCGAGTCCATTAACGATGTCTAGATGAAAGGCGGCGAGCGACAGCAGTGACATCGCAGTGCATAGCTCTTTTCGGGATCGAAAGACGGTCTTTGTCTCTTCGATAGCAAAATACTGCTGTCTTCCCGGACGCTTTTTGTGGCATCGTTTGCCTCCTTCAATTCACGCATCGCTATTTGGAAATAACAAAACACCCTCCGCCCTATGGCAGAGTTGCATCTTTGCTTACTGTTTCGGTTCTCCAAGAACTGAGCTAGGAATCGCAGCGACATCAAGAAGACACAGAGCTCGAGGGTTCCGCGGAATCTTGCCGTAGCTGACAGGCAATTTTCTACATCGTTACCATGGAGATAGGCAATGAAAAGGCAGTTTGACTCTTTCGTGCGGCTAACGGCTGTTTTGGCAAAGGCGAATTATTTATTAAAGGCAGAAGATATTTTTTTTCTATATTTTTCTTCATATTTCTATATTTTTTCATAGTTGCATGGCAGGCCGATTGGAAAAAAATCTTTTAAGGCGACAGGGGCAACAACAGGGGCAGAATTGTTACTTCGAAGTGCTAAGTATAACAGTTCATCGTACGACCTTACCTGAGATTTCAGCACATAGTTGACCTCTGATGGCTCACCTGAAAAATAAACGAGTCGCATAATAATATTGGCGTATCGTAGTAGTGGATTTATATTATTGGTCGTTCACTGAACAAACGTCCTAGAGACGAAACTTAGGCGTATGTAACGAAGCAGCATATACGAGAAGCCGAATCACCATGACAACTTCGATAGTGTAGGTTAGATTAGGATAGGATAGGATAGGATAGGACTACACTCAAATCCGGAAAGATCTACGCGCCACCCCATCTAAAAGACCTTTGTTTCATCGTACGCGAGCGCAGAATGATGCATACGATTGATACAAAATTTATATTGATTAACCTGGGAGTATTAGCTCGTTAGTTCTATTTGTCCTACTCGGATCATTCTAATGAACTGAAATTATATTCTAATTAATTTCAACAGCTACAATCGATTTCCACTGATTATTTCGTTGAATCTCTCGATCTTGTTTAACAACGCCGTTTTAACATCGGCCTAATGTTCACCATGGGCTTACTCCGTACTGCGAATGACGCTTGTACCTATGCGAGCATCGTGCTGCTAGCACAGAACGCTGCCTATCAGCTCACAACAATTGTTGTTGGATGAGTCTCTCTGCCGTAATAGTGAAAATGTCACTGACTGCCATCACAGCATTTGTGCTGGCATAGCCTATTAGCATTGGTACCATTGGAGACCAACCAGAACCAACAGCAGACAAGCATTGGACTTTGCTTGGACTATCGCAGGACGTCATCGAGCGCCTGCGAGCTCCCCGTCGAATAGAAACAATCTTCGCACTGCGCTGTTGTCTGCCGCCATTGTTGTTTGTATTGTCTGCTTACATTCTATGGGCGCGTGTGCGTGTGCGCCCCATTTTCGGTACTAACTTTTTCTTGTCGTTTGGATTTTTGCAATAGAAATTAAGCTCGCTGACTAAAATAAGATCGTCGCAGAGCAGATGGTCAGTTGTAGCATTTTCCATATCTCGATTAATGCGTTTGACAACGTTACGTCTGTCATCGTTTTCTAAAACGATTTCCATGCCAGATCCGATTGAGGAGATATCAAGGCCATTTGAGACGGCGGACCGAAAGATGCTCAGCGGGAAGGTTGCGAATCTTGAAGACGGTCCCAGGGTTAGCGTTCACCGGTCCAAGGAACTATTAGATCAACGTCGCTAATAGGACAAGACCTGGTGGGTTTAAAGACGAAGCTTAGGAATAACAGAATAATGTTACGGCAAAAAACAACTTCCGCAGAAGAAGTTGGAAACACTGCGACAAAAACATACATCTGAAAAAAGCTTGTGCGGCTCTTATCGCCTCTAATTTATCGATCAATGAGACATGACTGGTTGTTCCGCTAGAGATTTCCTCCAACTGGGCAGTTCCGTTAAATGAACAGTTAATATTTCACGATGGTTTCAGGGTCATCTGGCAGCAGTGAGGCAAGCCACCAGACTACTGATTTTGTCTATGGAAGCTTCTCTGCTGACTCTGTAAAGGATGCAGCTACATGGTGCTCATTCCATTATAAAGTAGTTGTAATGCTTCAATCAGCAGTTTCACTTGGTGAAATTGGAACAGAAAGTGCTTTTTCGTAAGAGTGCATCCGGATGACTAGCAGACGACTGCCCCATTTACCATCCCAGCCAGACGCCGTCGTGTGTGCGAATGGTACGGATGGAATAGAAAGCACACGTTGCCTGGCTGGTATCAGCAAAAACAGTACTCGCGTACAGCTCTAACGTCACAATAATAGTCTACACACGACCATGCTGCATGTGAGCATCTAGAAAAACCCTCGATTTGTATAGGAACGTTTAGTCGCAAATGAACATGCCAGCGAGGGCGCGGAAGGCAGCTTTGTCTTGCCATGTTACGCCGGTGTGAGCTCTTCTATTTTTGCATAAACAAAGAGACATTTCGGTGATAACAGTGACATCTGTTGGCGCCTTTGGAACACTTCCGTGGAAACTTTACTATGGGACCCCGCAAACATTTATTAGAAGCCGTTCGCTCTTAAAAATATATGTTAAAGGGTCAGTAGAGTGAGGGGCAAGAAATCTAAGGTTGAATCATAATAATAATAATAATAATAATTGGTACACGTTTAAGAAGTAAGGCGTATACGGCTATAAACCGTAAAATAGCTACGAGATGAAAATTAATCGCAATTTATTTACCAGACCGGTAATTTATTACTAATGTTGAATAAAGCAGGGGTCAAAGCAGACGTCCGTGATTTCCCCGTTATGCGGCGCAGTCGAATAGGATCGCCGTTTCAAGATATGTTGCTGTATGTTTTTGTGTGTTCGTGAAGAGTTTTCGATTGCGCGACCGCCCTGATTAGCTTCACGAATAAAAAGCTGCATAAAATTAAAAGCTACTGTATATTCAAAACTATCTGTAACTGAACATTATATGAATGCCAAAGCTGACACAAGCAGCCAACTTATAGTCAAATCAAATTGGCCGTCTCAACAGTGTGGCGTGCAATGATAATATGTCCGTGTATCTGTTGACTATACGAAGAAATCGCCAAGGGCGCACCGAGATCGAAATTATATTGGCTTGCCTCTCCCGGGTTTCGAACCCTGCACACACAGAAAGCATCGTTTCATTATAATATTGTCTTAAATCTGCTAATAGTGCGTGCACGACACGCCGTCACTTCGTCACGTACGCTATGTTTTCTGGCTAACTCATGGCTACGTTCGCGCGTGTCAATTTTTGTCCTTTACACAAGCTCCGTTCGGTCGTGTACCTCGAAGAAGCTCGGTCGCAGTATCAGCCAGCAGAAATAGCCGGGCCGATGCAATCACTATTTATTCCGCGTGATTACTCTTCAGGCATAAGAACCTGACACGGACATTTTATCTATAAATTGTAAATGCAAAATAAATCAGGAAGGACAGCTTTTCTTTGCGGCTTTACCCATTTGTTGGTCTGGCGATGCTACAACCGCAGCTGATTGTAGATAAATGCCTACAATCACCGCATCAGAAATGGCTGGTTACTGATTCACCGAACGTTTGGTGTTTACGTTAAGCAGTTCTGATCTGTAGCAACCTAGTCCCAAACTTGTTCAACAATTCAACGCTTCCTATTCAGCTTACATTTACCCACTGTCGCGTGTTTGTTTCTGTCGTGGCAATCGAATCCTCGTAGGCTTTCTGAACCACACTGACCTAGTTTAAGCTCCATTGACAAATTCCAGAAGAAATAGGTCCAACCTTATTGCATATCGCTTTGTGAGAGGTTGCGTTTGGACCGTGCAGGACGGTCTTTGCCAAAGCCGATAAAAACAATTGTTGAACAATAGACATTAACAGAAATTGATCCAACAGGAGATAACCAAACACTCTTGAAAGTTTCTATTCGACAGTTGAACGTGGAGATAAATATAGATAGGGAATAGTGTTTAGTAAAAAAAAAAAAAGTGTAAGTTACTCGAGCGCGTCTCGTTACGGCTGGTAGACCAAGCAGAATAGCAGTCGAACTTCGACAAAAAAGAATTTTCTAGTTTTACCGTCTTGTTTGATGAGCTATTGTATCGTTTCGTTTGTATGGCATAGATCCATTATATATATATATATATACGCAGACATCACAAAGTATCTTTACAAACGAAGGGTACCTCGAACCACGTAGTACCTAAATTCCGAAGGGCAATACATCCCTCTTTCAGATGAGCACAATTACTTTTATTAATATCCGCCGATCTTCTCTATAGATAGCACCCACTTACAAAACGACACTCTAAGCAGTAGCAGCAATAACTGTAACGGCTTTGAAATGCCGGCTTATTTCCAATTGACGTGGTCCGCGCCGGCTCCATTGCGAACGGAAAAGCTGTTTGCCAAAGACACGCTGGCCCGGATCACCAGTCGGCATTCACCGACTATATGAAGAATAAATGCTGACATTGGTACGGTTGTCTGTCGACCCCGCTGTCCGGCGTCACAGCGCTGTAGATTGTACGCAATGATTTTTCATCTCAGCCTGATCTTACGTACCACTCAGACTCGGAATGATAAAACATTCCACCTTCTATAGTGCGTCCCGCATTATAATACACCGACGTGCAGAAAAAAAAGTTGTTGCATTTTAAGATAACGTAAGTATTATTAGGTATTACAATAACCTGGCGATGCTTCTACAGTGAGATATCGAAGAGTTGGTTTTACCAAATGTCAATCACACTGCCTGCACTGATTTCACTATCAGAGACAAGTTAATATAACTCTAAATCAATCTTAGCAACTTAGGTCTGCTGTTATGCTACGGGTTGAATATTTATCTATACAAAATAATAGATATCTATCTATATTGAATAAAGTAACTAGCTAACTACACAGACTCCGAAGGACGCTTTGCTTGCGCAGATAGACAGGGAAGTGTTGCACTCATAGTCAGTTGAACGTAATTAGACAGTAATATGCTGATCACTAGCTTCAGGCCGGCCGAAGGTGTCAACTAATATTAAGCAGGCTTTTCCTGGGCATAACAAGTCATTCGGTTCGGTTCCGTTCCGTTCCGTTCCACCGTTACTGCCATTGTCGTGTCGATAGGTTACCGCAATTATTCTATCGTTTCACTGGATATACAGGTGAGATACTGGTAGCGCATGAATCAATATGCAGGTCGTTCGCTCACTGATCAATGGCAAGTTGTTCAAATCGTCGGCTGTCCGTCGGCCATAAGCTGCCAACTACAGCCCCTCTAGCCAGTGTGCTCAGGTCTCTGTCAGCTTACCGCGCTGTAGCTGGAAGCAACCCACGATTTCGCGTCATGACACCTCATTCCTGCATACCGTGATTCACAGACCAGATCGAACGCGCAGTGGCACTATACATAGGACGGGGTTCGGGGCAAGGAGCTCTGTTACTCTGTCACCATGGCGATGACGATTGTAATCATGATGATCTCTCGACGTGAATGTCCTTGTATCTGCCGTACGACTCGTCTAAACACTTCCGCTAAGCGCACCATGTGTCAGTTTGGCGCTTGTAAACCCACTTTGTAGG